ACCAGAAATTGGAGAATTTCCCAATTCTAGCCTCTGTGTTTGGGATTTTCTATTCATTCCTGCTTAAACAATGACGGAATTAAGTATCAAAAGTCTAGGGACGATTCTTGCAATGTATGCCAACGTGTTACTGTCATGTGCCTGCCTGTCTGCGATGGGTGATTTTAGGGGGTAGTTATATGGAAATAGCCTCTGATTATGTTTCTGACTTTTCCAGGTAGGTTATAATTTCAGACAGTTGTTTTGATGTGAGTCTGGCAAGGAGCACATATTGTGAGATCTTCGGACCTCTGTGAATTAAAATGACAAATGAAAAAAAGGTTGCAATTTAACTACTGTAGGGGCAGACGGTGTGGCTGAGCAGGAGAGCATTTGCCTAGCATGTGTGAGGTCCTGGGTTCAATCCCCAACACTTCAGACAGAGAGAAGGAGAAAGCGGAGGAGGGAGGCAGAGAGATGCAGAGATGCAGAGAGACACAGAGGCAGAGGCATCTCCATTCTGATAGGTCGTAGATGGAATATGCCTCCCTACTGCTGAGACAGGCAAATCTAACGCACAGTGTGGTTTGCCTGGCTACTGTTGAAACATGCAAAGGGTCAGTTATGTGCAAGCAATTTTCATTATAAGCAAGAATAGAAGGGAAGCATGAAGGCGAACCGTTCCTCCTTCTCTCGCATGACTACTCACACGGTGTACAACAGGAGGCAGGAGCCCTCTGAGACAAGTCTGTTCTCTCTGACCCCAACTTGGAATTTACACCCCATTGCCTGACAGGCACAGAATGGAGAGGATGACCCCTGCGTGCGTGTGTGCGCCTGTATCTGCGTCCATACATGTACGTCTGGGCAGGAAATGAGGTCTGTGGCCAGGGGAGGTTTGGGCTGCTGGCTAACGGGAGACTGTGTCTAAGTCTGTCTTCTGCTGGGGCAGGTCACTGTGTGCAGGAGAACGGGCTTGTGAGGCTCTCCCCAGGCAAACAGGCCCACCACGGAGGGCTTCAGCTTTGCCAGTTTGAGAACTGTGCTTTGGGATCCTGAAAAGGAGGGAGCAACTTGCAGGCTTCAGGCAGAGAGAGAGAGAGAGAGAGAGAGAGAGAGAGAGAGAGAGAGAGAAACAGGCTTCAGAGAGGACAGGGTGGGTGGGGCAGGAGTCCAGGCAGGTGGGGAGCAGGAGCAGCAGGTTTTGTCACTTGTCTGTCTTTTGTCACTTCTGCGTTTGCTCTCCCTGAGGCTCGCCCTGCCCTGTATCATCCCACATGACAGCACTTTGCCATTTGCAAACTTCCTTCAGAGGTACCCTGAGGAGTCCAGGGACTCACCTGATGACCAGGAGGAAGACTTACCATCTGCAAGCTCCCTTCCATCCCGAACACTCATCTTTACCATGGGGGCTTTATTTACCCCTGTAGCTTCAGGCAGCAGGCTTTGGCCATCGTTTAATTTTCGTAAACCTTCAGAAAGAAATCAAATGTGAGCTTGTGTCGATCAAGGTACAAAAAGAATCTTTTGGTGAATTTTTTTCTTTTTTGTACTGAGGATCGATTCCAAGGCCTTCATGCCGAACTACGCTTGCAGCCCTTTTAGTTTTGTACTTTGAGACAATGTGTTGCTAAATCACTAAGTTGCCTCGGCTCGCTTGTGATCCTCCTGCCTCAGCCTCCCAGAGTGCTGCAATACAGCACGCGCACCATTGCGCCTGGCTGCTGAAGTCATTTTTTTGAAGGGGTTGTTAAAGAAAGTGGGATCCTAAAGGACTGAGAAGGACATGTGAATAAAGCTTCATTTGATTCCCAGTATGATCTCAAGCCCTGCCTTCATTGCCTGGTGTCTTTTGAAAAGTGTCCACCAGAGGTGTCTCATTGCAGAGGAACCCCATCTTGTCACCAGCTCTGTTACCAGCAGCGAGGGCAGGGAAGGACAGCTGAGCCTCTGCGCTTACTTTTTGGTACAGGAACCTCAACCGTCTGGCTCAGTGGGTTTCTGGCTTCTCCACGGAGAAAGCACTTATGTAGTTAAAGTTTAATGCGACTGATGCAAGTGTGCTTCTGCAGATGACAAAGGCCTCTTCTTGCCACACTGGAGCAAGGAAGGCAGGAAGGGCCGGCAGTAGGAGGGGAATCTGCTCCTTCACCCCTCAGGACCTGAGTTCCCGAGCCAGGTGCCGCTCAAGCTCAATGCTGCTCCCCGACCTGACCAGCACCTGGAAGTACTCAGCGTTGACAGCTGACAAGGCAGGGGCCTACCAGTCAGAGGTGCAGGAAGAGGAAGGGCAGAAGGGAGGAGAGCAGAGGCAAGGGGGGCACAGTTTATCCTGTGCCAGGTCCGAACCCGCTGGCAAATGTATAGGTGAGTGGGGGTGTGCACAATGGTCGGCGCCAGTCCGCGCTTTTGTTTTTTTAATGATGTCTTCCTAAGTTTCCCAGGCTGATCTTGAACTTGTGGATTTAAGTGAGCCTCCTGCCTTGGCCTTCAGAATAACCTGGATGACAGGCATTTGCCACCACGCCCAGCTCTCCACTCAGCACATTAAAGCACTGGGAGAAGCACTGTGTCATGGGTCCCTTTGTTGCTGTCGTGCTGTGTGCCTCACAGCCCTGACCCTTTATTTCTAGGCACTGCACGGAAGTCTGCCTAACAGGGGAAGGCAGGGGAAGGCCCCGAAGAGAAGCCAGCTCTTCAACTCACGGTCAGATAATTCCTTTCCAAAGGGAAAGGTGCCCAGGAAAAGCGTGGCTAGGGAAATCCTGGGGATTAGGACTCAAGCGACGACACAGGGGATAGAAGATCTCCCAGTGCTGTTTATCACATTGGAGTACAAAGGGCACAGGGCAAAGAACAGGAAGAACCAGACTGGGACATTGTGGCAAGATCCAAGGGAAAGCTAGAAGTTGGAATGAAGGACTTCAGCCGAAAGGACTAGGGAGGATGAACACAGCTGAGGAGCCAGGGTAGAAAAGCAGTCAAATGGTCCACGAGGGAGGCGAGCATCCCATCCAGGGGAAGATAGGGAGGTCTCCACCTCAACTCTTTTATCACCTCCTCAGTAATTAACCAACCTCTGTGTACATAGAGACAGTAATTACAGGCAGAAGAGCTCCTTTGATGTAAGAGTGTACAATGTCTGGGGGAAAGAAGGGTAAATAAAAAAGAGAACGATCTTGCTTTAATATGTAAACAAGGCTGATGGAAAAATATCACCAAACAAGAAACCAAGCCAAGCAAACCAAGGTTGGGAAAACAAGGCCCAGGCCAAGCCTGCACCTCAGATATCCTGGGCCAGCCAGGAGCAATGCAGTGGACCTCCTCGGGCATTTTTGCTCTTCTTCGAAGAGCTCTCACAACTTTGTACCAGGCAGCTGCATGCTGGCCCCTACCTGTTTTCTGCAGATATTCTCAGCAAGTTTCCAGAGAGGCCTGTTTACTTCTAGAATCAAAGCCCCTGAGAAAGGGGGGGTTACCGGGGGTCTGAATGGCTCCCCCTGGGGAGCAAAGCTAATCGGGAATGGAGGTAAGCTTATAACCCAGCATCCTGGATGCCTGTCCTGTGCTACAACCCTGAACACCATTGTTTCTGTTGGGGCCAAACTTTATTACAGAAACCTGTTAATTGGGGCGGGAAGGAGAGGAGAAAGCAGGGAATGCAATGCTAATATGATTTAACACTCCGTGGGCTCTTAAGGAAAGGGCTTCAGGCTTTAGCTTGGCACCTTTGTCATTCCACATCTGTGGTACCAAAATGAACACACACAACTAAAGTGTACGCAAAGCTCTGGGGGACACAAGAGCAAAGACTTTGTGAAACAAAAAGGCATTTCGCCTGCCTCCACTGTCTCTTGTGGTGCCATTGTCTAATGCTAAGAACTCACATAATAACAAAAAACAATGCCCCTTCGATGGGGGAAAACTTGATTTGGCATAAGGGCTCATGTTTTCCATGGGAATCGTGGTGGGGGCTCTGGCTGAGTGTGGGAATAGTGCAAATCAGCACTTTTTTGGTAGATTTTCTTCAAGCCATTGTTTATGTTGGCTATAGTCAGATCTGTGGCCCAGCTTGAAGATTCCCACTGGGTTTTCTGAAGCTCATAGACCTCTGGGAGATGGAACAGGGATAAATACATAATTACACAACTCCCTTCCCCCACCCTGGCACTTATGTAGGGGTGTGCCTGTCTTGGTGGGTTGTACAAACATGCACACACACACACACACGTGTGACCCATCCCACCACTGAGGACTTAAAGTGAAGCCAAGGTTTCTTCTGGTCTAGCTGGTTCACCGTCTCACCTTTCAGTTTGGGTGAGGGAGATTACAACTATTTCTTCCAGGTACCAGTTTTTGCAAAATGGCATTCGGATAAAGTATGTCTGAAATTGGGCAGCTATGAAGATGTCCTCAAATCCTCAGGTGTTTGTGGGCCTTTAAACATCAACAGCTCAGGTTGTGGTTCAGACACAAAAAAGTAAGTCAGTGATAGTGCTGACAAGGCAAGGTGAACTTTTCCCAACAGCTCTGGGAAGCGTCTGCTTTTCCTCAGCTGAAGGATGCAGAGGCCAACCATGCCAAATTTGTCACAGAATGAAAAGTGAGCAAAGAGTCCATGTGGAATGATATGTATTACTCTCCAAGATGTGAGCACATTTGCTTTAAAACGCAGTTACTGGACCTGGGATTTAGCTCAGTTGGTTCTGCCACCTGCCTTGCAAGCGCCAAGGCCTGAATTCCATTTCTGGAACCAACGAATGAATGAATGAATGAATGAATGAATGAATGAATAAAGGCGGTTACTGATTGCTCCTGCCATAGCAGCAGGTTATTATATTTTTTATTTTTATTTTTTGGTACTGTGGATCGAACTTGGGTCCTTGCACTCGCAAGGCAGGTGGTAGAACCACTGAGCTAAATCCCTGGCCCAAGGTTATTATTATTTTTTTCTTTTTTCTTTTGGCACCAGGGATGGAACTCGGGTCCTTGAGCTTGCAAGGCAGGCCACCAAACCGCTGAGCTAAATCCCCAGCCTGGTTATTATGTTTTTGTTTTTGTTTTTTTTTTAAGTGCAAATACCCTTTCTTGCAGGCCCTGTGAGCAGCTACGTGTGTACAATATTCTCCAAGTATTCTAGAGTATTTTACAAAGAAATGTGCTTTCCTTTTTTCCCAAAAGTTCCCACTTGCAGGAGGATTCTTTGTGACACATTGTGAAGCTGCTGTTGAGCAGAGGGTAGCACGGCACAACTCCAATGGGCAGCACTTCTCTGTGGAAGCAACTCCATCCGGCCTTGTAGGGTGACAGCACTGGATGCTCTGGCTGGAAAGATGTTTTTGTAATGCAGTGCGCAAGACCCTGTCCATGCATTCCCCTCTTAGAGTCAAGTTACATCAGAGTCAGGGACCTGGTCCTGGCAAAAAAAAGATTTTGCTGTGGACCAGAGAGGGCTGAGGCAAGATATGAATTAATCCACACAAGCATCTTCGAAGCTTCGAGGATATGGAAACTGAGGCCAACAGAGGTTAAGGGCTGTGTCCAAGCTCCCCAGGCCCCGTGCAGCAGGCCTGGGACTCGAACCTTTCTCTGTGGAGCTCCAGAACAGCCCTGCGCCATCCTCAGCACCCCTCCAGCCAGGAAGGGATCCGCGCTTGCTGACAGCAGCAGCAGTGAGACATCCATGACACTACAGCAGAATCCAAAAGGTGGCGTTCACGGGGCAGGAGAGGCGGTGGATCCCGGGCTGCCCGCCCCGCCAGCGTACCCCCTGGCAAAGAAAAGGGAGCAGGTGTGGGAGCCCCGTGCTTCAAGCGTAAGCTTTACACAGCTGGACGGGCTGGGAAGGGGAGTGTGGACAGATGTTAGCATCTCCTCCCCTTCCTGGGAAATAACTTTGCATTTGAAGGGTTGCAAAGAGGGAGCCAGTAAATCTGTAACTGGAGCAGCAAGATTTTACTTGGCTATACGAAGGAAGGTACACACAGGTGCCTGTCGTGTATGTGTGTGTGTGTGTGTGTGTGTGTGTGTGTAGACAGAGGGAGAAATCGATTTGAGTTGGAGGAAGGTTCAAGTTACATGTGATTGTTCAACTCTCCCCATTTGAATTGGCTTTTTGTTAAAAACAAAACAAAACAAAACAAAACACAGTCCTACCAGCCACCATTTATCGGGGACCCGCTATGTGCCAGGCATTGTTTTGGCCGCTTTTCGAAGTCTTTTTTTCTATAAAGAAAAAAAAATTGTTTTTATGCAGGTGCAACCAGAGACAAGTATTTTGTTTTCCCTTTCCGGTTAAGAGCGCCGTCCACCGTGCTCAGATTTGGGGCGAGCCGGGAAGGGTGTGGGGACGCGGCCGGGGGCGGTCCCTGCAGCGAGAGTCTCCACCTTTTATTTTGACCGGTCCGACGCGACAGGCTCGCACTAGGACCCAGGAGCCAGAGCGCCTCCGTCCGTCCTGTGGGTTCATTCAATCTCCCATACACACAGACCCACAGCGGGCAAGACCGACACACACGCGCAAACGCACACGCACACAGCTGCACGAAGCGAGGCTCGGGCAGTCAGGCCGGCTGCTCGCCTCGCCGCTTCCTCCTCGGTTCCAGCAGGCCGGGTCTCCCCGGGGAACCCCGCTCCTCCATGGGCAAACGCGGG